GGGTGGGAGCACAGATACCACCCATGCCAGCAGGCATGTCCTAGCCGACTCCTGCTGATCCTCACTCTGGGAAATGGTCACACACTGCACAGACCACAGAGCCAGTTTTTTTTCCAGGACAGTGTTTTTGAGTGCTGTGCGTACAGCACAAATAAACAGGTGTCGAAGGTTAATGACAAACATATTCCTTCCTCTTGTAAAGCCCACATTAAATAATATAATCTTATGAAAAGAGAATAAAACTACATCATTTCCAAAACTTCTGCAAGTATTTCTGACAATTCAGTGATAGTCAAACCAAGAGGAAAAATGTCCATAAATATTTTGCCTAATAATAATCACCTATTTTCAGTAAAATTTTATTAATTCATTATATTAGGATACTAACAATGTGTTGCACAGTAAAGGACTTACAAGGCAATTGAATGATGTAAGTAAAATATTAAGAAGTGCTGTTGCCTTAAAATGGTTAAATTAATTCAAGCAATTAAGATATTTTCATTAAAATGATTGCGAATAACATAGCCCTAACCGCCTTTTCCCCCTTAATACCGTTTTAGTAACTTGTTACAAGTTTAAGCAACTGTATTTAAACTCATGTAGTATAAATTATAGCTGTTTTGATATATATGTAATTCAGACTTCCAATTCTAAATAATTCCAAATTAGTTTTAATGCTATGTAGTTACTAATCACCATTTAAAACAATACATGGCACAATTAAGTGGAGTTATAGAAAATATTCTATAATTTATATTTTATAAACCTAACTGTGTATCAAGTTATTCTTGAAACAAATTCTTTTCATTTACGTAAATACTAGAGCAGCATCTACTCTCATAAAGTTCTTTGTCACAGATAATAAAACACACTACTTCCAGATAACAGAATATAATATTAACTTAATATTGAGTCATATCTACACTTGAGTTAGGTTTGCTATATGGTATTTCACTGCCTGTATTTTTTTTTTTAGCTATTTATTTATTTAATAGTTGACAATATTACAGATGTCCTCCATTTCCCCCACCTCCACCCAGCCCCTGTCCCACTCCAGGTCTTCCCCACACTATTGTCTGTGTCCATGGGCTATGCATACCAGGTATATGTTCATTAGTTAATCTCTTCCTGTTCCCCTAACCCCCTTCTCCTCTGAGATCTGTCATTCTGTTCCATGTATCCTTGCCTCTGGACCTATTCTGTTTGTCAGTTTCTTTTGTTCATTAGATTCTACATATAAGTAAGGTTTAAACTTTAAAAAAATCTTACAAGATGTACTCTATCAATCCTTAAAATCAAATTATTTCAAGACTTCAAATCACTAAAAAATAACCCATCTTACGCTGATCAGTAAGAATATCTAACTATTTAAAGGCTCTAAGAGTTATCCATTTAAAAAATTTTCAAGGTTTAAATATCTTAAAATAAAAGTGGTATAGTCATTATAGCTGGTTACACCAAAATATGTTTCATCTAAAAATGAGACCACAAGCACTAGGTGGACATGATCATAGACAGCTATTCACTGCTTAATCACTAGCAGGGAGGGAGGCCAGATCTCCATGCTCCCACTGTCTAAGCTTCAAGTATTTGTTGAAGTC